AACATTTATTTATTTTTGAGACAGAGAGAGACAGAGCATGAAGCGGGGAGGGTCAGAGAGAGAGGGAGACACAGAATCTGAGACAGGCTCCAGGCTCCGAGCTGTCAGCACAGAGCCCGACACGCGGCTCGAACTCACGGACCGCGAGATCATGACCTGAGCCGAAGTTGGACGCTTAACCGACTGAGCCATCCAGGCGCCCCAAATCTTTATGAAGACATAAATCAGGGTATAGGGACCAAGTACCACCAAGGCTTACTTAATGCTAAATATGTGAGGACAGCCTCACTGACAGGGTCTCTACGTTGATGTTACCCTAAGGAGGTAAGGGATGGGATCCCCCCCCTGCACTCAGTGTGTTAATGTGCACTGGACGAATTAACACCTGATTTAATCTAGAAAGATTTCAAAGGATTCATGACAGCCACAGTCTTATTCAAGAATTTTTAAGGAGAGTCCCTTGAAGCATCAAAAGTCACGGCTACGTGCAACAATTAAGAGGGTATTAGTTGCACAAGATTATTCCCAAATAGCAGGAGAACTCTAGCTTTACAGAACGGGATTATTTTTACAGGAATTTTTTGGGAACAAACAGCCAGAATACCAAAATGTCTTCCTAAAAATCCAATTCAGAATAAACGGGACTTCCTCCAATGGAGCATATACTAGGAGAAAGGTGGTAAGGTTAAAAAATGGAACAAAATATGGAAAGATTAATAGACAGGAAACCAATTTAGAGAAAATGCAGCCTCAGAACAAACAGCTCCTGTTATAGAAATCCAAGCTGCGGGTCACAAGACAGGCTGGATTAAGCATGGGAGAACAAAGGAAACCAATCAACATGATTGGAAAAACAACTCAGAAGGCTTGCCTAACGCTGGGTCCGCTTCTACACGAGAATCACAAGGTCTGAAGTCAATTAAGTAAAACATAGCTGAGCTACTATCCACTTTTACCTTGAAAAGTTTTTAAAGTTTTATTTATTGAAGTCATCTCTGCACCCAACGTGGGGCTCAAACTCACCACCCAGAGATCAGGAGTCGCACGCTCTTCCGACTGAGCCAGCCAGGCATCCCGATCTACTTTTAACCTTAGCATAGCACTTACGTTGCAAGGAAACTCTCACCACGTGAATGCAAGAGTCTCCGTAACACCAAGTTATGTATATGTGGGTATATGTATACATACACACACATACCTCTCTTATTGCAAGTCATTAGAAGCCCCAGTCATTACATTTAGCTTTTCTAATCAAAGAGAAAGGAAAAAGAAAGTAATCCTGTCATGTCCTCCCCTGATGGACAGATGGGGTAGAGGGTG